CCAATCAGTAACGCTCTTACGGCAATACCGTAACCGTGAGGAAATGTTTAGGCCAAATGCAGGTGTCGTCAGTGCTGAATTTAACACTGCCTCTCCCACAGCCCTCCAGAAATTTACGATATTTGAAATGAAAGTTGTTTTACAAACTTTATTTCAAGATCAAGTAGTAGTAATGACTTCTAATAACCTTCTTTTATCAGGTGCCCCTTTCCCGACGCCTTTTCTCTCTCTTTACATTTGTTAGCAAATTTAATTCTTGGGCTCCTCCACCGGTTGTTAGAAAGCTTTCGGTAATGAAAGCAGTTTTACAATCAGCTGTAGCGATCTGCTTCCTCCCTTCTATTTTTGTTGAAACGTATATGTAGCACTGTGCAGCTTATTGGGCTACTACCTGTCTGGCCCCAGTTGTTCAAAACTCGATAACCGGCTACTCCACTGGGTAATTACTCTATGGTGGATAATGCATTGGTTTCCTTTACTGTTTATCCGCTGGTTAGTGTTTTATCCTATGGATATATAGCACTATCCAACAACGAGGTCTGATAGTTACATTGTCCACTCATCCAGATTTCTGCATTCTAAGATTCCTTATTTTTCCCCCGAGGCCAGTTTGCTTCGCACGTGTCAAATATGTCACTATTAATAGTTTTCCTAGAAAAATGGGAAGTACTTGAGAAGTGTAAACAAATGCTGATATTATTATAACCGAGAGGCGAAAAAGAAAGATCCATAACCCCTCGGTATTGAAATCGTTAATGTGCAATTCTAAGAAATAGCGATGTTTACCAGAAAATATTCCTAGAATTTGTAAGTATGCAAATGCAGTTTATTCAGAAGTTGTTAAGCTAGAACAACGTTATGCGATTCTTAAAAACAGATTCAGCTCGATAAATTATAAATCATACGTCGTGGACCAATTTTGCCAATTTGTGGGTACTTGAAGCAAGATGATAACAGAGAGCTTCACAGGCAGCCCAAGCGTGTACTTTAAGTGCAAGGGGTTTTAAGGTTACTTATAAAAGCTTAATGCGATTCAAGGAAAGTTCCCTGTCTCGTGAATATCACATTAAAATGCAGGTGAAAGCCAGTCTCGCTTTCATCGTTTGGTCGTTCGTTTTGAGTGAAATCAATTTTTGCATATGCAAATTTTATATCAATTGATTAACGTTGAATTCATGAGTCAAGTAACAAATTTTCTGAGAACAAAGAAAGTACCCCTGTAGCCATTCTGCAGTTTTATAGTTGAAGAAATAAAACCATAAATTGTCACTTCCTCCTGTAGCTCGGTAGCCACTTTTGATTATCCTCGATACTGGCAATACGCGAGTTTAGCTGCAAAGGCTTCTCCCCCATAGATTAAAAACTGAACACTGATTTATGTTAAAATTTTGTTTAACTTACCTGAAATCCAAAGGTTCAAAATAACATAAAGTAACAGCATCGTGGATGTGTTCGTTGAAGATTTTTTTTAACGGAAGCTGTTTTCTTAGCAATTTAAGTTTGCCTTAGCGAGTTATTAAACAAAACCTTAATTAAATATACAACCACGGAGAGAAGAGAATACATATTTTTGAACTATCTTCCTGATATGCACCAGTACTTTGAAAGCTCTTATGACATCTTTTTCAGAGAAAAGTGTAAGAAAACTTGCCCTTCCGGGTCCATCTTGATTCCGAGAAGACGATTAATAATATAGAAACCTCCTGTTCAAAACAAACAAGGATATACCTGCCACGCTAATAAACCAATTAAGGCACAAGCGTTAATTAAGGGAACCAATAGGGTCGACGGAAAATTTTTGAAAAGAATGCTAAGTGAAAGCGGTGAACATTACTACGCAGAGGTTTCCTCCTTCCCCAGAGAAAGAAAAAAAGGGAATTTTTTAGACACATGCTCCGGCTTACGAGAATGTTGATTTTCTTTTTATCGTTGATCGATCAATTTCTTGCCATCGCAGTCAGTTACTCGACAAGAAACTTTAAAATCAAAAGGAAAAAAAAAACATTGTTAACAAAAGAATTACCTCGTGTTCTATGTTTTTGTTGTTACGTTCAGGGCACTTCAAGTAGATTGACTAACTATTGTGGATCGGATGTTACTAAAACGGGGAAGAACGGATGATGACCTGCACGTGGAAAGTTAAAGACCCTTGGCGAATCATTCCTTTTAGAATATCCTCAGAACTTTGCAATACCCATACAATAATTCAAAGGAAGTTTATGTGTGGTAGTTTTACTAATAGATGAAAAAAATACAAGCATCAAGTTTTACACTTCCGGCAGTAGCTATTCGTTCGAAGGCAGCAGATTTAAAGATACCGACTGAATTATAAAAATACAAAAACATAGCTTAACTTACCTGAAATGCATAAGTTCAAAATGACATAAAGTAAGGAAAGCATCGTAGATGTGTTTGCTGAAAATGTTATGGCAACAACTGTCTTTTGATAACTTTATTAAACGATATAGTCATACAAACGCAGTGGCGACAATTGTATCGTTGCATAAGTCCTTATGTGCACCAGTGAATTCAAACTCAACTGTGACATCGTCTCTCATTTGTCAAGAAAACGAAAAAACGCTTCTGTAAAACTTTCTGCGAATATAACCTTTCATTTGCCTAAGTGGTTTTTCCGAGAAAAAACTCCTTACTCTAAACAATCACTGTAGATGCCTGCCTAGCCACCGCCTAAATTAACCAAACACATGCGCAAGAACCAGGTAGCATTGGAACGAAGCCAAATCTAAATGTGGGTTAGATTACTCCTGCGACGCATGGAAGAAGGCCAATATAATAGCTGGCGAACAAAGCTATCTGCACAACTTTAGACGTCATTATACTACCACTACCGGTATTCTTCAGAGTTTTTCTTTCTTATGGAGATAAGGGGTTTTGTTATTTAAACCTCGCTGGGATTACCAAATTGAGATATGATAGGAAAAACGAATGGATCCGGGTAGTTATATCAAAAGTGACACCATAAAGGATATTGCCTATTAATAGACACATAATGACTCTTCCAGTTTCCCGCAACTTTCCCCAGAGAAATACAAAAAGTTTTAACCAAAGGAGAAGTAAAGAAGGACAAAACTTGTTGCACTCAAGAATATTTCATCAAGGACGAATAGTTTCATTTTCTTTCAAGAAAACAGGAAGTATTTATAAGTTTTTCCATTTTTAGTTAAGGTCAATTACTACGGGTCATTTTCCTCGAATCGAAGAATGATAGATGGTTTCAGGCGATTCTCCAATAACTTTTTGAAAAGCCTACAAGGATTCTAAAGCCCCCTCAGCAGCTACAAATCTTCTTTTCACAACTTTGTTAGGCTTTTTTGGCACTTATTAGAGCTTTTGAGAATGCAAACGTCTATTACGGGAAGTAATATGGACCGGCGGCCTTAACCATTCTCGCGGGCGTATTTATTCCTTCGTTTCCGAATCATCTACCAGACGTCTACAGGTTACAGTTCTATCAACATCAGCCTTGTGAAGATGACCCTAACAAGGTGGCACAACTTTCAGTAAGTTGCACCGCTGATGATGCACACTCAGTAAATGAGTTGAAAATGAGTTCAATGCCCGCGTGAGTATCGTTTGCTCAGACCGACAGCAAGCTTAAACATCATTGGTTTCAGAAACTGAAACACTTGTGAATGGCTTATTATGACTCAGAAATTTCCCTTCTTGAGACTAAAAAATTTGAGTTTTATTAATGCAATAAACAATTTATGAAAAAGCGAGCAGTTAAATAATATTAGTACGTATTGGGTATTGTCTTGGGCACAGAAAATGCAATGTCAAAAGTTCACTTTCCTATTCGGTATTAGGTTCCAATTGGATAAGTAAAAGGAGCCCTGGCCGATTCCAAGAAATGTATTCGATCGTTCGAAAGCCCGTTTCATCGACTGGACGGTGCTTTTGAGGGGAGCATCAAAATACGAAGGTTTTTTTCGGCTTTTCTCGCTATGTATGGCCACCGTTATGTTGAATTAGTATACAGATCCCTCTTACATGTCTCACGCACCGTCCGTTGCTTCTGTCCCAATTCAATCGCATACCTGAAATGAAAATGCGGTGTAAATCTGCTAAGGATGTTTTAGTCGGCCTTTCTTTTCTTCTTGCAATGGAGAGAATGTTTACGTCAGGTAAGAACTTGGATTAAAAGCTAGACCCCTATTTCACCAAGGGGTGTTTTCTAAGTTTGAGAATCACTTCATGAATTGCCAATATTACGACTTTAGTCGACTATTTTTTCATCTTTTGGTT